GGGGTACGCCGGCTATTACGCCGGCGCTCGATGTTGAGGCGGGCATCCGGCTCCCCATGCTGATCCTTCCGAGTCGAAGGTGTCGACGAGGGAGTAGCAGCCGAATGACGTGCAGCCGCCGCCGCTCGCCGCGCCCTCCGCCTTGACGACACGGAGCCGGTGGTAGCGGCGCCGGAGGTCTTGGTGGTGGCGGACCGTCCACCAGCACCCAAGCGCTGCTGAGCCGTCATGACCAAGTTGGCCACGTCTTCCAGCCATCGTTGGGCTGGAGACTCCGGGTCATGGACGACAGGCGGGTGTCGTAGGAGCGCGCCAGCAACCTGAAGCGCGCCCTGAGGCGTGCTGCCGTCGCCGTAGACGAGGAGGCGACGCTCCCCATCTCGCCGTTCTCCTGCATCACCTGCGACTGGTGATGCCACGGATTTGTCGACCCTCTCAAGCGCCTCCCCCTGCTTAGGGCTTTGGCGCGGAGGAGGTGGGGGAGTACGAGCTCGACGGCGTGGATTTGGTTCCCCGTCGTCGCCGCTCACACTCGGAGAGAGATCGTGCGCCTTTGCTTGCTCGGCCATTAGGCAGAACAAGGGAAACTTGGCGCACACGGAAGAGTATGAGAGCTCAGAAAACACACGCTGAGCCCCCTACCTGGCGCGCCAGATGACGGAGCTCGTGGCTCCTCACCGGGAGACCGCGCAGGCCCCCCTTTGCCGGTTCGGCCGGGGGCTTAGGGTGAGATCTCAAGCTCTTTCTATATGTGGAAAGATCGCTTGCTCGGAGAAAACGCGAGACACGGCGGCGATCTATACAGGTTCGGGCCGCTGCTCAGCGTAATACCCTACTCCTGTGTTTTTGTGGATTTGTGTATGGACAAGTTACAAAGGATTAACTCCCTTTCCCCTCAGCCTTCCAAAAGGGAAAAAGTCCCTTCTCTAAATGGGCAAGGTCCTCCTTTTATATCTCAAGGGGATACCACATGCCCCTTTCTCTTTCCAAACTGGACTGTTCTTTTTCTCTTTAATGGGCGGAGATCGGTACGGTTTCCATCCGGGAGCCCTTCTGATGGGACAGCCCACACCTACCCCCACCTCCCCCGAAGACAGAGATGACGCGGGACCGTGGCTGTCTGTCGATGACGCGACCAGTGCCAGACCGGTCATTCTTGTCCGCCACGCGTCAGCTTAACAACGTGCATGTTTGCCCTTCTTCGTGTAACACCTTGCCTGTAATGGTTAGGATGAAGCCTGGTATAAATCTGACCAGGGCTAACGTGCCATCTCTAAGAGATAACACGCTAGCTCCGGCTTGAGACGAGTGCCTACAGACTTTTGTCTTGACGGGATGGGGCAAGGCGTGCGTCAGACCGCCAGTCGCCACCTAACCCGTGATCTGACCGGTCTGTGACTGGTCACAGACCGGATAAAGGAACGCGCTGTACTGCGTTGCATGCAGCATGACACGCTTGACCAGACTGCAATAAATGCTGTTAGGTGAGCACAGCTGTGCTCACTTATCCCATATATGTGGCGCAGACTTCCTTAAGGGGTCGGGGTGCCTCGGCCCTCGGGGCCGGGGCAAGCGCAACCCGACCCCCCCTCGGGGGAAATCAGGAGGAGGGCGGACACCTCACCCTCGGGCCCGACGTCCCCGAAGGTGCCAGGCCACGTGGGCGATTGCGTCTGCCTCAAGCCTCTGGTCATGATACTCCCGGTCCCATATCACCGACAAGGTGACACAGCGTCGGGGAACTGGAGGGAGAGGGTCGAGGAGTACCTTGGTCTGGAGCCTCCAGTGGCACCTGATGGTCAGAGGCAGACGAAGACATCAGGGGTTCCTTTGAGTTGGTTGCGAGCCAACTTCGGTCAGTGTCCCGCTGAGGCAGACGAGGCTACAGTACAGCGATACTGCAGGGCGTACGTGCTGTACATCTTCGGCAGTATTCTGTTCCCTGACTCTGGTGGAGACATGGCTTCTTGGATGTGGCTGCCGTTGCTCGCGGACTGGGACGAGGCGGGTACCTTCAGCTGGGGGTCGGCTGCCCTAGCCTGGTTGTACCGGCAACTCTGTGATGCTTGCCGAAGGCAAGGCGGGGACGCGAACCTAGCAGGCTGTGTTTGGTTGCTACAGGTAAGTTCACGCATGTTATGTTTCATAACATTTCAATTTCTTGCTAACATGTTGGACCTACTGTCTTGTCCTACGTCCGGCTTGGACACTAGCCGACATAGCGGATGACCCCGAGGATGTTGAGGAGCAGAACGAGTACGATACTCGTACCCGTCTAGGTACCACGGTCGAGACGGGACCTGTTCGCGACAGAGTGGTTCGTTTCTAGCATTAATGTTGTATATTATTTCAATTTCAATGCCATATATGTTGTGACTTACTTCATTTCAATCCTACAGGCTCGAGAGCTCTTGCGGACCGTCAACGACGCGGGAGTGGCGCTAGGCACGGCTCCTGGCTCCGAAGGAGAGGGCGGCACCCTCCGCAACGCCCTACAGGTAATCGTTGGAAAGAGATGAAACTACGGTGTTTTCTTCCAAAAGCGATAACTTAACATGGCTTATTTTTTATGCAGAGACTACGGCAGCGATGTCGGAAGTTGGCAGCAAGGCTCGGCTGCAGGTCGACTGATGTGGTCGAACATGCTCATGCCCACCAAGAGGGGGATGAAGAAGGGGAGGTGGGTGACGAGGAGGGCGAGCAAGACAAAGAGGCGGAGGAAGGAGATGAGGAGGAAGAAGGGGATGAGGACAGAGAAGAGGAGGCGGATGAGCTCGGTCCCTCGCAGCTAGAGGACGCACCAGAGTCGTCACAGCCGGATATCTCGCAGCCCGGCCCGTCTCGACCACGACGCCGGCGGGCTCCTTCGCAGGACTGGAGGTACACCCCCGACGTGCCTCGTCCTCGCACTAGAGGTAGGAGGAGGTGAGTGCATGGTTCAATGGATGGATGGATAGATGGATGGACTTGATGCATGGTTCGATGGATGTATGGACTGGATGTATGGACTCGACTGGATGTATAGACGAGGATCGATGGGATGTTTTTATTTCTTATATGTATGGACTTCATATATGGATGTATTGATGGATTCTATGGATGTATGGAATGATGTTGGGATTGATGGATGGATGTATGTTTTGTATGGTTCTCTGGATATATTACTGCCTGTAAATTTCTGTCATTTGATGTTTGCCTGTGTTGTGTGCAAAGTTTTGCTGAAGTTTTAGCAGGGCTGGGACGTCAGCGCCATGCTAAATGGCGCTGACATGTCCAAACTCAGCGCCAGTGCACCTGGCGCTGAGGTCCCAGCCCAGCCATCCAGAAGGCTTGCTGGGCTGGGCCACGGCCGAAACGGCCAAGTCCCACCTCAGCGCCAGATGGACTGGCGCTGAGTTTCCCACAGTCAGCGCCATTATGGCTGGCGCTGAGGTCCTAGCCCGCAAGCCATCCAGAAGGCTTGCTGGGCTGGGCCAAGGCCGAAACGGCCAAGTTCCACCTCAGCGCCAGGTTGGCTGGCGCTGAGTTTCCCACAGTCAGCGCCATTATGGCTGGCGCTGAGGTCCTAGCCCGCAAGCCATCCAGAAGGCTTGCTGGGCTGGGCCACGGCCGAAACGGCCAAGTCCCACCTCAGCGCCAGATGGACTGGCGCTGAGTTTCCCACAGTCAGCGCCATTATGGCTGGCGCTGAGGTCCTAGCCCGCAAGCCATCCAGAAGGCTTGCTGGGCTGGGCCACGGCCGAAACGGCCAAGTCCCACCTCAGCGCCAGGTGGACTGGCGCTGAGTTTCCCACAGTCAGCGCCATTATGGCTGGCGCTGAGATCCCAGCCCGCAAGCCATCCAGGAGGCTTGCTGGTCTGGGCCTGGGGGTTGCGGCCAAGTCCCACCTCAGCGCCAGTCCGGTTGGCGCTGAGGTTGGGCACCTCCGCGCCGAAGCGGTTGGCGCTGATGTAGCTGCCACGTCAGCTAGGGGATCGGCCCGGCCGCCACGGTGGCACAATGTCAGCGCCAGTCCCGTTGGCGCTGACACGACCAACGTCAGCGCCAATGTGTTTGGCGCTGAGGCGACGGCCTATTTTTGGTTGAAGTTTTTGGCAGGGGTTAGTTTCGAAGTAAGTTTTCCAAAAGGGTCAATTTGTCAAAAAAACGGTCGCTACCAACTACCAAGCCAGGAATGCCACTGCAAACAAATTAAAGCACACGTTGCAACGAGACCAACCCTTTCAGCATCAAGTACTGAGTTCAGTTTCAAAAAAAAAAGTGCTTCCTCCGTTTCACAATGTAAGTCATTCTAGCATTTCCCGCATACATATTGATGTTAATGAATCTAGATAGATATATATGTCTAGATTCATTAACATCAATATAAATGTGGGAAATGCTAGAATGACTTACATTGTGAAACGGAGGGAGTACTGAGCAATAGTAAATTCATGGAGCTGATAGTAAATACTACTCACTCTGTCCTAAAATATAAGTATTTTTGAACTTTGACACGGTCATTGAGATATTACTTTGACTAAAAATATTTACAAAAATAAGATGGTTTAAATAAAAAGAGTTACATATTATGATAGTTTGTTTAATGATAAATCTAGTCATATTATTCTTACATCATTGATATTTTTATTTTTTAGCTATTAATAGTCAAAGTTAAAAATATTTTGACTCTGTACTATTCTAAAAGTGTTTATATTTTGGGATGGAGGGAGTAGAAATTAACCACCCTATGAGAACCGTGCATGACTGCAAGCTGACGTACATAGCTATAGTAAAACTTTTAACCAGGTAAAAACAGCGGTACCATACCATGAGCCTGCTGAACTGCAGCAAGCAAGCATGAATCGATGGTACTCGAGGATGAACAAAATGTGTGCACAACAACTGAAATGCTGAATGATATCAACTATCGAAGCCTGGGATGACAGGGGCGGTAACCAAATTCAGTTCATAGTGGGCATAGTACACCATCTCTAATTTTCTCAGAGGAAGTAGGTACCTGGAAGAAAAGGATTGGTTGGTTCCCGCCGGTGGAGAAGAGCCCCCCTCTCCTTTTTGCAAGTATAAATAGCCCATGAGCGTCCTGCTATATTTCATCAAGCCGAGCTCAGTGAGCAACAAGACAGTGAAGCTAGTGTTCTCAGAGCATACACAGCCAGCGACAATGGCCGGGAACTTGCTAGCCAACTATGTTCAAGTCAATGTCATGCTCCCCGTAAGCTCTAGTTCTATTTGGATAATCAAATTTTAGTCACAGCACTGGCAACATTAACATTAACATAGGCACAAACTTTCTGTAACAAGCTCAAGAAGAGCGAATTTGTGGTACACTGACCTGAATTCTGTTGCGAGATATGTAGCTGGATGTGGTGACTGTGGACAACAAGTTCGAGAAGGTCGATGAGACCCGGGCACAGCTGAAGAAGCTGACGGAGGCCGGCGTCGATGGCGTCATGGTGGACGTGTGGTGGGGGCTGGTGGAGGGGAAGGGCCCCGGGTCCTACGACTGGGAGGCCTACAAGCAGCTGTTCAGGCTGGTGCAGGAGGCCGGGCTGAAGCTGCAGGCCATCATGTCGTTCCACCAGTGCGGTGGTAACGTCGGCGACATCGTCAACATCCCGATCCCGCAGTGGGTGCGGGATGTCGGCGCGAGCGACCCCGACATCTTCTACACCAACCGTGGTGGGGCGAGGAACATCGAGTACCTCACCCTTGGAGTGGATGACCAGCCTCTCTTCCATGGAAGAACTGCCATCCAGGTTTTAGCTGATAAGCAAGCCCCACCACCACCTGCACATATGGAGTCCGATGAATTTTAGAAAAAAAAAAGAGATAAAAATGAGGTTTTGATTTCGTTATATGTATTACATTCTTCTCTTGTCTGTGGCTGTGACAGATGTATGCTGACTACATGAAGAGCTTCAGGGAGAACATGGCAGAGTTCTTGGATACTGGTGTCATTGTGGACATTGAGGTGGGGCTTGGTCCAGCTGGTGAGATGAGATACCCTTCCTACCCCCAGAGCCAGGGATGGGTGTTCCCAGGCATAGGAGAATTCATAGTGAGTGTTCTTTAGTCTTTACCAGAGTAAAGATTCTTATGGCTGCCCTCATTTTATAAATAAGTTGTTGATAAAAATATTCTCCTCCATGTGATGGCTGATGACCAAAGACAACAATCATGGTCCAATTGCAGATCTCCTTTAGGAAAAAAAATCTTTGGAAAATGAGCACAAATATTAAAGTGGTTCTGGTTCACAAAGATGTTTGGACCAAAAACAGTACTAACAGAAAAAAAAAAAACAGTAGAAGCAAGCCTGAGACTGAAATTAAGCAACAAAAGAAGAGGAAATCAAATTCTAAATATGCTGAACAGATATGAAATGGGACAAAATGCATGACAAATGGTAGTAATTCACTGCTCTAACAGTTATTACAATAAAAAAAATACTGCAGTGCTATGATAAATACCTGGAGGCAGATTTCAAAGCAGAAGCAGCAAAGGCTGGGCATCCTGAATGGGAATTGCCCGACGATGCTGGAGAGTACAATGACACTCCCGAGAAGACCCGGTTCTTCGCGGATAATGGAACATATGTCACTGAGAAGGGGAAGTTCTTCCTCACATGGTACTCAAACAAGCTGATAAAACATGGAGACAAGATCTTGGATGAAGCAAACAAGGTCTTCTTGGGATGCAGAGTGCAGCTGGCAATCAAAGTAAGTATCATGCTAAAGATCTCGGCGAATTATAGTACATAATTTTGAAGACTTCAATGATTTCAAATTAGACTACAGGCTAGATGAATAGGCAACAGATATATATATATAATGTTCCATTAATTGTTGAATCTAGAACATAAATGACACATGCTCCAATGTTTGCTGGCAGATCTCCGGCATTCATTGGTGGTATAGGGTTCCAAACCATGCAGCTGAGCTCACTGCTGGATACTACAACTTGGACAACAGAGATGGCTACAGAACCATCGCACGCATGCTCACAAGGCACCGTGCCTGCGTTAACTTCACATGTGCTGAGATGAGGGATTCTGAACAAAGCTCAGAGGCAAAGAGTGCACCAGAAGAACTAGTCCAACAGGTAAATAACGGACTATTACATACTAGTACTTACTGGTCTATAAGTTAGAACTTCTGCATTGCTCTTCTTCTAGAATAGCACAAGAGCACTTATCAAAATATTCTGGCTATGAACTATGAAATGGCAGGTCCTGAGTGCTGGATGGAGAGAGGGCTTACATGTGGCATGCGAAAACGCACTCGGTCGATACGATGCAACAGCTTACAACACAATACTAAGGAATTCAAGGCCGACAGGCATCAACAAGAATGGACCTCCTGAGCACAAGCTATTTGGATTCACCTACCTCCGATTATCAGACGAGCTGCTGGAGGGACAGAACTACAGCACATTCAAAACTTTCGTCAAGAGGATGCATGCTAACCTGGTGAGTGCCACCCTACAAAACCAAAAACATGCAAAATAGAATTCATGTATTGTTTGCAACTGAGATGTTTTTTTAAATAAAATTATGAATGTTGCTTCAGGATTATAATTCAAATGTTGACCCATTGGAGCCTTTGCAAAGATCAATGCCAGAAATGCCAATTGGAAAGATCTTACAAGCAGCACACCCAAAATTGGCGCCATTTCCCTTTGATGAGAATACCGACCTGCCGGTTTAAAGATCTCGCTGATGCAGTCTGCAGCCACTTTGTGAGGAACAAGGGAAATAGTAAATAAGCCTATTGGGTACGATACGCCAGATGATAAATAAGCTGCTATACTAGCTGGTTATAATCATATGATGTGACAATAATGTACAGCCGGTCATGAAACTATATGCTTTTATAATAAGCTGTAATATGTTAGCCCTTGCCCGTCCCGATCCCATGTTGTTGTATGTATTTGAGGTAATGAATAAAAGTTTGTGTGTCTTATTAATTTTGTGATTTAACTATACAACTGGAATTGCAGAAAGCAGAGCAAAGAGTATTGTACTGAAAATGATTTGGACAATGACTACTTTCTAGTTTTTGTTATACAAATACAGGGCTCCATAATTGCAATACATATGACAGTACATTATTAACAGAGCATGATGAAAAACATTTAGTTAGCTGACAAAATAAGTTACTTCATATCAGCACGAAAACATGTCCAAATAGGACAAGATGCATATTATGTTCTGGGAGCATTGTGCGCTCTCTATCAAGATGCTAGTGATGAAAACCTCATCATAAATATCACATCCAATTATCCTAAACGACTACAGCTACAAGCTTGAGATGTCCCTAAGTAGATAGCAGAGTTGGCCGTATATATCTGGTTGGATGTAGAGGCCGGGTAAAAAATACCCTTCTCTAAAATAAAAAATAAAAAAAAGTAGATAGCAGAGTGCAGAGTGCAGACATACAAACAGAGACAGTCTTCCATATGGCCAGATGGTCCTTACATGTTTAGTGATAAATATTCAGTTGCACAAGCCACAGCAACCAATTTTACAAGTTCTTTAGCCTGGAAGGGTAGCTAACAAAATGGGAAAGTGTCAATATGACTGTTACTAGTGAATTAGCTCGGGAAATAATTCAATTCCTTGGGGGTCAGAAAATTTCTGGCAAGAACTAGTAGACTAACTAAATTGCTACAAGCTGAATTTTGTGAGTCAAGGATGCTATTTTGATTGATCCAAACAAGGATGCTATTTTGACTGATCCAAACAAGTGTACTTGCCAAACTTGTTCATGTGTGTCTATACTGAATTCCATATTGCTAGGATCATTATATTTTGCGTTACGAGTCATTTTGCAGCACAGGCAGCAGGTAACCTGCAATTTTGCACACATGCCAGGGGCCAGGGCACAGGCACACCCGGGAGTCAGGGTGTTGCAAAGTGAGTAGCATCTGTCCATATAGTAACACAAGAGGAACTCACAAAACATATCCTAGAAACTAGTAAGGTGCCCGTGAGTTGCAACAGAGTTTAAATCTTATGATATTCCTTCTTTTGCTTAAGAGAAGCAACTATAGTTAAAAAAGAAACAGAGAAGTATATAGTTTCAGGAAAAGGTCCAATAATGTCATGGGCTTTGGGCCAGGCGTCCTAGGCCCATTGGATAGGATTAGGGTTTGTTAGGATTAGATAAGGTTTGTTAGGATTAGATTAAGGAGTCCTCCATCTATATGAGGGATCCTATCCCAGGTCAGTTAGGCTTAAGATTTATCTATCCCCATTCATCCCGATTCTTCTCCACATAATCCTATCCAATGGGCCTAGGACGCCCGGCCCAAAGCCCATGACAAATAAGCATGTCAAATGTAACATTTCATTACACTTTCAGCTTAAAATGGAATGAAAATAATCCAAGGCAGGAATGTCTAGCTTGACAGTTGCTCATGAGTTTCAAGGGAAGATGGAAAGAGAACATGACAAATAGCATTATATCAGTCCTAGAATAGTCTTGTGCACTATAATGGAAAAGTTGCATAAAAATATGGAAGGTTTCTTTAGAACCACTGGACTGAACCATTTGAATCCATTAGAAATACATTGATTTTATTTATTTCTATGTTATTTTCATCATCATTTGCAGCATCTAGGCACCCAGAATTAGCAGAGCTTCTGGACACAGCGCCACACATGTATGCATCAAAAACAAGAAAAAGAATTGCAGAGTGCAGATATACAAACAGAGACAGTTATTCCATATGACCAGATGGTCCTTACAAGTACATACTTGTAGAAACACTTCAGTTTTCTATAATGATTCATTTATTTGTAATTTTGGAGCTATCTTATAAAGAAAAATTGGATGCATAGCGATATTACGGATGGAGACTCACCCTTTCTGTACAGCTACATCAGATACTCTCTTGCAATAGTGTGTACACGACATTACGACAGTACCTGAAATGAAAAAAAAAAGTTGGGATAAGTATGTCTTAATTTAATTTGATTCTGAGAAAAGAATCACGTTTAAGTCCCTTCTGGAAATTATTTACAGTTCACTTAAACAGGACGCTCTGGATCAACCCACCAGCTATACTTCTTCCAATTGAAACCAAAAAGGTATATACAGATTTTACACATAGCGTGAGCAACTCAAGACAAAGTTGGTTCATGACACATTCATACACAAACCAGCAACATAGTATCATTCAAATCAATCAGTCATCCACAATTCCACATAAATTAGCGATCTGATTGGAGCTACCATAATCTGCAATCTGCTGAATTGATGGAGATGTACCAAGCAACTACTGCATTGATTAGCCATCATTTTCTGTATCATCAAAACCCACCATGGTAGGGAGTCTACCCTCTAACGAAGAACTAACGAAGAACAACCCGAAATTCACAGATCGGGATGTATACTCTACTATATATATATGAACTGTACACCTACAAATGCGGCCACACACAAAAAATGTACCATAATAAGCTGAAGAAATTGCAGCAGTTAGTTCATCAAAAGCTCACCAAATTTGACAGGCAACTACCCCTCCTCCCTTACCCCCTGCCGGGACGTCGTCGTCATCATCGCCTCCGCCCTCCTCTGCCAGCAGCGATCTCGAGGAACGCCACCGCGCAGGGGGGCTCGATCCGGTGGGCTCCGCGCTGCATGCAGGGCACGCTCCCGCCGCCGTACAGGGTGGCGGTTCTGGAAGCCATCGCTGCCTCCAGCAGCGGCCGGCGGAGGGTCTCGGCCTCTCGGGAGAGGGGGTACTGGATCGAGAACTGACCGGAGGTTTTCGGCGGCGCAGCGTGGACAATTCGGCCTCCCCGCGAATCCGGCAGCCACCGGAGCGGCAGCCGAGGGTCGCCGCCCCGGCGAACTTCTCCGCGGCTGCCTGTCAGTGTCCGCCGCTGTCTTCTGCAGCGCCGCCAGCGTAAGATTAGTTGGGCCGACGTAATTAGCAGCCCATCTAACAACATGGGGCCTAATTCGGTTATCGACGTAAAATTAGCCCTTGTCATATCCCGGTTACTCCGTAACCTGATTAGGCCGTTAACATAGATTCGGCTCAGATTGAAAAATCTTCAGTACATTAAAAAAGAAAAGCAAGTAGTCGATTTTACTTCTCAACTATTGGGCGAAACAATTTTTTTTTAACAAGCAGAAAATTTTTTATTCGCCCGAAAAAGTAAAGACCATGTGTTAGAAAAAATAGTGGTTATGCACTGTAGTGTACTCCCAAAACCACGTGTCAACCAGACAGAAACAAGCCTCTCGGAGGGAAACCTAGCACCCAATCGATCGTTGCTAAGATTGGTCGATGGTCACAGACATACAACAACACTATAGTGTAGAGTCTCCAAACACGACGTGTCTCCATAAAGGTTATGGCATCAAGGACACAGTTGTTGTGCATCCAAAGACTGACATGTTTTCACCCATTGTTTCTCACCAAAAGAAGAGAAGGGAGGTAGATGACACCCCAAGGGGGTCACGCCCGCGGGCGTCGCCGCTGCTAGCTTAATGAATCATAAGACTAGACTTACACTTGCAAGCTCTACAGGCTACAACCTTGATCACGGTCTATCAGGCTACAACCCTGATCACAGTCTATCGTGCACCATCTCAGTGCGACTTCCTGCCTTCCAGCGTGAGAGAAGGAATGGGAAGAGAAAAGGTAAGGATGGCTCATGCCTGGTCTTTGGAAGGGAGGTGGCCAAGCAGGTCGGAACTTTCTACACCGAGCTGGTCCTGCTCACCGTCGGAGCTCGTACTCACACTCTCGTCCACTCCGGTGCGGTGCCACTAGCTAGGAATAAGTTCACTTTAGGTTTCTTGATTTATCGTTGAGTTCAAATTAAATCCGTCCCTAAACCGTAATACTAGGTATAACGTGTCCCTCAATTTACAAAAGCAATGTACTTGAGGTCCCAAGGTAGTATAGTGCCTGGTTTCGGCTGATGTGGCGGCTGAGTCAGAATGGGATCCACATGTTAGGACAATTCAGTATAAATTAAAAAAAAATTGGTGGCTCCCTCTCTCCTTTTCTTGGCAGCATCGGTGTGGGAGCAGGCACTACATGTGGCGAGCAAGGCCACAGGTCACGGGCGACGGTGACCGGCGATACGTGGAGGAGGGTGTTAACAGCGACGGCAAAGGAGGGATGGGGATCGAACGATGCCTCCAGTGGCCCAGCCAACCGATTTTCCCTTATCTGCTCTAGGCCACAGCTGCAGCCGAGGTAGGGGAGGTAGCCTAGGTCGGATGCATCAGCGGCACCGCCGAGCTTGAGGGGAGAGGTGGTGGCATCGTTGGAGTTAGTCACCGACGCCGAGATGCTCCCAAATCCCCACGTGACGCCAACGAGAACGAAATGGCAAGCGAAGAGGGTGGGGCACCGTTGCAAGGGAGTAGAAGGCCTCGCCAATGGAGGAAGGGTGGGAGGATAGCGCCTCGCCATCAAGTTAGGGAGAGGATGGGGGTGGAGTAAAGGCCTCTGCCGTCGAGTTAGTTCCTCCATGGCGATCTCGTCCTCGCGTGCCGCACCTACTCCGCCTCGTAGCGGACGCCACGCACATAACCCTATGTTGGCAATCGTACCTCCTACCGCTACTGGAGCTCGAGGCGGCGATGTCCTCCCATGCATAGATCTCGTCGGCTCGGGCGGTCTCGTCCCCTGCGTCGTCGGGAGCACTGCCATCTGGGAGTAGGCCCGCGAGGAGTGCGCTCTAAGACCAAATGTTGAGCTGCACTTGTGGCGCGGCAGAGTTTAGGGAGATCAAGGGTGCCCCCGACGGCTTGCTCCTGGAGCTACTCCTCTTTCTCTCCCCACACGCTCTCCCACTGGGCCATGACACTCGCACGGAGATCACCACGCCAGCCTCCGCAGTGGCTACAGTGGGGGTAGGGATGCTACAAGAGGCTGCACATGGTGGTGCCCATCCTCGCCACCGACGTTGCCCTCCAAGTTGCCAATGTCCTCGTCATCGTGTTAGTGGAGTTCCTCTACCCCTAATTGTTGTCTAGCCGGGCTAGACATTCGAGCACGCCTGCATCGATGCGTGCGCCGTGCTCGCCTTGTCTCCGCCAGTCGTCGTCGCTAAAGGCGCCACGCTCACCTTCTCCCTGCCACCTAGCTATCAGATGCAGGGAAGGAGAAGAAGCAAGAAAAGAGAAAAGAGAAATAAAGAAAATAAGGTGGGGACCCACTACAATTTTTTATTTGTAACCAGACACTCACTAACATGTGGGTCCCATCAATTTTTTTATATTATAAGTGCCACATCAACACCAGCTAAAACACCATCCAAACCGTCTTAAGACATTATTTGTACTGGTTTTGGGAGTTGCGAGAGACGTGTCAAATCTGATATTGTGATTCAGGAACGAAATTTAGACGCGCCGTTGAGGGACCTATAGTGAACGCATTCCCCACTGGCTATGCTACTACCCGCAGCGATTTTTTTACATTTTTTATTAAAATATTTACAAACATAATTTTTTGTTTCAAAAATTTACAAATCTAATTGCCTCTCACCCTCTAGGAGGGCGATTTTTAAAAATCGCCCTTCCAAAGGGCGATAAGGGACCTAAATGCAAATTTTCCAGCACAGCTTGTTTGCTCTATGATTTTATAATTTAAAATTATATTATATAAAGTCAGATGAAATAAAAATTTATATCAAAATTGTAGAGCTCAAGGAGATCTACAACTTTGTAGTTAACATTTTTTCATTTAAGATGTTTTAGATATCCAAATATTCATTATAAAATAAAAAACCTATTTTAAAAAATCTCAGATCTACATCTCAAACGACATCGGATGGAGATAAACTTTATATAAAAGTTGTAGATCTCGATGAGATCTATAACTTTGTAGTTTATCACTTTTCCATTTAAAATCATTTAGAGTATCGAATACGTATTATTAGTTTTTAAGCAATTAAAAACGGTGGAAAGGGTTTAAACACAAATAAAAAAATTGCATTTAGGTCCCTTATCGCCCTCTGGATCCAGAGCAAGAGACGACTAGATTGTAAATTTTCTAGAAAAAAAAGTATTTTCGTAAATATTTTAATAAAAAAAATGTAAAAATAAAAAAAATTCCAGGCTCGTTTGCCAGGTGCCATCGCCTACAGGTCCGCTATATCACGTAAGGCCCATATCGCGCTCCTCGTCTTGCCGTCCAAGACGTCTATAGCATCGTGGGCCCAACCCGTTGTCGCCTACTCGCCTCCTTTGGATGACGGAAGACTTACCAATCCTTCTCAAAGACCTTTGACCCAAGCGAGCCGCGAGCCGCGACACGCGATGACAAAATGGACAAACAACAGTGCTCACTTATAAACTAGCGGTTAAAAAAGGTGAAACCAAGTAACCAACATCTGCATTTGAGCAGCTAGCTAGCAACAAGGATAGAAGAAACGGGAGCTGATGGCGGACACCGTCACCGTCGGCGGCGGAGGAGAGCACCGGGTGCAGGTAGCAGCAGCCAAGCCCTGCGGCGGGCAGCAACAGCAAGGCAAGAAGGCAGCCGCGCCGGAGAAGTGGCTGAATGGCTTCGTTAGCTTGGTGGCGCTGGTCGAGAGGGTGGGCAACGCGCTCGGCACGCTGGCCTTCACCTGGGCTACCGTCGTCCTGCTCGGCGGATACCCGACGTCCCTGACGGCACTCGGCTCGTACAACGATTTTTGGTTCGCGACAGCCATAATCTTCCTAGAATCCGCCAGGTTAGGGCCTATTTGTTCTGTTTCCATTGTGTTGATTTCCAATGGATTGGGGATTTTTTTTCTTTTTTTAGAGAATAGTATTTTTACCCGGCCTATACATCTAACATGATACATGTATCCTTTTAAATCGGGAACTTAGTCCCTCAAACAACTCAATCTGAATTCGCTCTTATGGGGATTTAAAGTTGGAGTGTTTCTCAGGTCACTGCAATCGGCCAATCACTAGTCTGCATACCCTTTTGCAATCGATTGGGAATACATGGCGATCGCCGATCAGCTGGAGGCGGCTCCTCTGCCGTCACAACAGACAATATGCATCGCCATAAGTTTCTGGATTACTATATATGATTTCATTTGCTCCATACTTCTAAAAATACTATTTCTCAAAAAAAACACTTTTTATATATTGATTAGAACATTTATATCTTTTTATAAGCTATTTATTAGGTTTTTAACGTATAGTAAGACTTAATCTTTCCTATAAGCAAATTGATAATCCATTAAGTTAAGAAATGGTAATCCATTATTTTTCATTCACAAATAATCTAAAAGGAACTCTGCCTTGCACATTCTTTATTGTTTGAATGATTTTACAGTTCTTGAGGAGATATCGGGAGGTATCACATTTTTTAACGTAAAATTTAGTATCTCTCAGTTCCTTCAATGCTAGGAGGTATAAAAATTTCTCTCAATGCTTCTCAAGGACTATAAAATTTATCTTAATGTTTACTTACACATCCTATATACTTCAGGATGTTTAGTGGCAGCAACAACAGGTCCGATTACCAATTGTTCTTCCGAACCAAAGGTGCTTTCAGACCTCTTGACTGGAACTGGCTGATCGCCATCGTCTGCATTCTGGATGTTTGGAAGCTGTTGATTCCCCTTCCCCATAAGAATGTTATGGCAGCTGTAGTGCTTTATGCTATGATAATTCTGCTTATACTTGGCAAGAGTATGACTCCAAAGTTTCAGCCATCACTACGCAACCCGTTACGCCGTGCCATATCACTATGGAGCCCCTTAGCTGCGATACTGTTGATGACTCCAGCCATGCAGCATGACCATTCAAGGGACTTTGTCAGGAACATTACAGGAAACGGATCGATAACCACAAGAACGGGTGGCTTCGCTCCAACTAGGTCCACAGTAGTTGCCAAATGGATAGTATTTCTACTATTGCTGGTATCCGTCCTCGTGGTGACAATCAGCAGGCTAAAGTTCCCAAGAATCATCAAATTGTTAGATAGTGCTTGGGGCAGAAAACTAGTGTCTTGGCGTCGATCTATTCAGAACATTTGCATGCTTGCTGCGCTAGTGATGGTAGTACTGACTACTGATGGCTTCTTTCGGTTCATGATAATCGGGATGCTAGTCATTGTTGCTGTGATGGTGTCGTCGGGCAACTTGCAGATACCAGCAGCAGTCTTGCGTGTTGTGTTCGCAGGCCTCGCACTGTCACACCTTATGGCACTACATAAGAACAACAAAGAAGACGAAGAGACTAACCTGGTACCATCTCTCATTGTCTTCTATGCGATGGTGACGGCCCAAGGAATACTCTACACCGTGGCATGCACCCTCGAGATCTTCTCATTCATCCCCCGGAGATCCCTCATCCGGCGTGCTGGATTCAGAGGTCAGCTGGGAGTGGAATATGTCAATCTGTATTATGCATATGCCTTGGAGAAATGCATGGAAAAGGCTGTGTTTGCTCCGAAGAAAACCAGCCTGGGCAACTTTGCCATGGATTCCCTGAACTCAGACTCTCCCAAGAATCATCTCTATGGGATTCAACTGATGCATAGCCTTCTGGAGAAGGAGACGACAAGGGCGCGGCTCCTTGAAAAGCTCATCACTTCTACAAAGACCATGGCTAGGATAATAAGTATGTTGGGCTGGACTAGCCCAAATTATATGATGGTCAGATTATATGCCGCGAAAGTAACTGCTGAGCTTGCGAAGGACCTCCAAGTTATCGCTGTTCCTAGGGCAATGCAGCTTGTGTCTGCCCTTCTGGACACCGATGGCAAACTTAAAAAGGGAAATCCACTTCTGCAGGTAGACGATGAACAAGAGGAGAGGCAGGATCCCATTCTCAGCACAGCAAATAGCCAAGAGGAAAGACCGAATGCAATTAGGAATGCAGATGATCCCCCAAAGCAAAGACAACAAGAGACACTTCAAGGCACTGATAACCTGCCGGAGACACAAACTCGATCAGCCCACATCCATGAACAGAACTGCATAATCAGAAGCTTGCAGAAGATTTCAGAGTACTGGACAGTTCCCAAGGAGCATCCATTGACATACCATGATCAACTTCCTGCACTTGGCATGTTGATTGTTGACAAGCTTGCTAGTTGTGATCAAAATAACTGTGTGGAAATTGATAGAGTAACTGACCTCATTCCGAAGATCATAGGATTTACAAGCTTCAGAAGTGACACAATGAACAGTGAAGCACAGCAAATGGTCCTAGTGAAGTCATCACTGAAGGTGTTGCAGAGGCTGACAAGCATTGAAGGGGAAATCGGCAAAGCACTGCGGTACAAGATATCGAAGCATCCCTTCTTGTTAAGAAACCTCGCAGATATCTTGGGAGACAACATCAGAGACCAAGAATTAAAAAAGCTTGCAGTAGGAATCCTCAGAAACATTTCCATTGATGGTAACACAAGGCAGGAGATTGGGAACATGAAGGTGCTCATAACCAGACTGATGAAGGCATTCCTCGACTTACATAGAACCTCCAACACAGATGTTGATTTCTTGCTACCAAAGGTCGCCGGGCAAGCACTAGCAATGCTAGCAATGGATAATGTGCACAACTGCTTAGTTATGTTGAAGGAACCAGAGTTCATTACTAAACTCAAAAATATGATCCTGATCCAAGATGAAAAGTACATATATGTGGCGCCAAGCCTGTTACGTAGTATGTGCCAGCATGCCCAAGCTAAGCTCACAGAATTAGACCTAAAAGAACTATCTCACACCTTACGAGAGGTGAGCCCTGCTACTTAATGCTACAGATGCAATATTTGAGGTGGATAGTGTGGTATGCTTTTTTGCATAAATTATTTTATGTTAGAGGAGGGAATTCCACCTGCATTTTTTTCAAACTGGGTCATTTATTACTAGTAAAATAGAGTATAATATACCGTGTTTTGCTGAATTATGTTGTTACCAATCATGCTACATTATCCACTACAGGTGTTGGAAAGAATAATGAATGCTGAAGGGGCAGAACTAGAGATTCTCATTGGCCTTAGTTCACAGATATGCAAAGTCAATCCTGAAGAATTTGCCCAAGAGCTAGATCACGGACATATTAGGCAAAGATTTGTGAAGAGGCTAGTGGATGCACTGAATGCAAACATGAAACCAAGTGCTCACTGCCCTGGGATCCGGAGGGTGATACTTGAGCAATCCATATACATGATGGAGTGCAATTCTCACTATGCCAATTGTTTCAATGAATTCCGGATGATGGACGCACTGTCAATTGTAGAAGAAACGCCCTCAAAGGTTGAGAACTACATGGTTTTCTTGGGTGATGTAGGCTTTATGGAATGCGGCACACCTCTCTTTGCTCTAGTGGACAGAGCAAAAGAACTGATGGGTCGTCAATGGTTGCAAGGAATCAACAACTAAAAGTAATTGTATGAGATGATTTCTCATTTACAGTTACAGTGATTTAGTCTATTGTGCATTGCAATCCAAATGCCGTAAATTTTTAGTTGATGCATGTTGTGGCCATGGTAAAAGAAATAAACAGAAAATGATGGCATTGGAGTCCGAAGGCCATGCATATTACTAACATGTGGTAAAAAGAAAAAAGTGAATGTGCACATGGCCTTTCTAGAAAGAACACGATTTGCCTCTGAGATGAGAAAATACTATTGTAATTGTACCTCATTAGTTTCTTTTTAGAAAATGGAATAAACCCGACCTCTACATCCAACCGGATGTACACGGCCAACCTCATTAGTACTGCATTGTAATATGTTTGCCTGCTTTTCTAATGATGATTTGTCCCATTATCATCTCTTGGGGTGAACAATGCATAACTGGTAATATATAGATTGCAGTTCCTGTGCCAGGCTCTAGCACGTGTACTAGTTTTGGCATCAATTGTTTTCTTAAAATCTGTGGTTTATTTTGACACCTGAAAATTGAGTTATCTTTTGTAGCAACTAGCCCCATTCAACGCAAGCCAGTAGCAGCCCACATTGCACAGCTTATGGAGTACAGTCCCTCCCTGGCGAACTCAACTGAACAACCATGAATACATGAATCATGCGCCATGTCAATAATGCATGACATGATGCCTGATTTTGATTTTAGTAGTTGGTTTTCCATTTTTGTAAACTACGATGCCTGTTTGGAGGCGAGTGAACACAAAACCCTCAAATTCGCATATACTGCGCTGGTTATATACTTATATATTGAGACCAAAACTATGGCGCATTAAATTTTCTGCAAGTCGCATTGCGATTAATCAGTACAGCAGCAATCGAAGAAAACTCCCAAATTTCCACATCCCTAAACCAGTCGATTCCAGTATAATCATTGACTCTCCCTGTTACTATTTTCTTACGCAAGGACAACCATATATAGGAACTGAACCAAATGACCTAAGCGACGAGATAAACATTCTGCTTCCTTATAAGAAAAGAGACGAGCAAAACGAAGGGATGCAAAAGAGAAAAAAAACGGGGGAAGGAGACACCACCCGTCGACGGAATGAGCTGGAGGGGGATTCGCCCTCTCCGCGGCGGCTGCTCTTCTCTCCGCCCAAGATCCTCCCCCGCCACCCAGCCGCTACCGTGACGCCTCGCCGTCGCCGCGTCGGCCGCTCTTTTCTCCGCCGGAGAGCCCCTCGCCCAGCCCACCGCCGCGCCCAGCCGGCACCGTTGCGGTCGAGGGAAGAAGCCAGTGCCCAGATAAAAGTTTGTACGTGGGCCAAATGTCAGGCCCTTCAAAAGACCTAGCGAAATTGTTTACGGCCCAAATGTTGGAACAGCTACAACTCAACGTGGGCCTAATTTTAGTCGACGTAAAATTTGCACAATACCCGAAATATGGGCCTAAGTATATACTTACTCCGTACTATATTTGAACGTTTAATTTAATTATTTAGATCGTATATGAAAAATAATTATGGATCATAAGAACGTTTAAAAATATATAGAGCATATATTCCAAGGAGTATTACACTGGTAGTCCAACCGAAAATAAATGCTTGCATGTAATACTAAACAAGCAGCTCTGAACAAAAGTAACCATAATAAAGTAATTAAGGCTGTGTTCTTTCCACAAGTTTCCCAACCCCTTTCCCTCGTTTTCCGCGTGCACGCTTTTCAAACTGCTAAATGGTGTGTTTTTTTGCAAAAAGTTTCTATACGAAAGTTGCTTTAAAAAAACAAATTAATCTATTTTTGAAAAAAAATTAACTAATACTTAATTAATCACACGCTAATGGACCGCTTCGTTTTCCGTGCGATGGAGTTGGGTTCCCAACCCCAATTATCAAACACAGCCTAAGTAGCTTTAACAACAGCCACATGACCCAATTCCACCGAACCCAAATAAAGCTTGCCGCCGCCTCTCTCAATCACCTCCGTTGGCCTGACGTTCTTCGGCCCCCTCAACTCCTGCAAGATCTTCCCCTTGCGACCGATCCTTACGGCGAGGAGGTGGGTGTCCGAGCCATACGGCGTCTCGGTCTTCTCGCGGTGCAGCGCCACCCAGTAGCCTCCCTTCCCATCGGGCCTCACGTTGTCCGGGTAGCCCGGCAGCTCGGCGAACGGCTCCGACGTACCGGCCTTGGGGCCCTCGATCCAGTGCCTCACCAGCTTGCACGGCCCCGTCAGCGCCACCACGAGGTGACTCCGATCGGCGCTAATGGCGAGGCCGTTCGGGTACGTCATTCCGGACTGGAGCACGTCGAGGTAGCCCGTCGTCGGGTCGTACTTCATCAGGCGGCCCGTGGAGTCGCCGGTGGCCGTGACCATCTCGTGCTGGGATCGCTGGAAGCGCGTGCTGCTGTCGGTGAAGTAGACCTCGCCGGTGACCTGGTTGACGTCGACGCCGTTGGTGAACTTGAACGGCACGCCGTCGGCCTCCGTGGCGAGCACCGTTGCCTCCCCGCCGCGCGGGCCGACACGCATGAGGCCCTTGTACGCGTCGGCGATGTAGAGGTTACCGGAGGTGTTGTGGAACCGGAGGCCGAGCGGCCGGCCGCACTTGCTCTCGGTGAGCTCCGCGGGATGGAGCTTGGGAGCCATGCACTTGGCGACGTTGTACCCCGGGGCGTGGGAGTACGTCGTCCAGCCTTTGTCGGCGCCGTCCCAGCGGAGGATGCGGCCGTCGGAGACGCCGCTGTAGGGGCCATCGCCGAACTTGTCGAACGCGACGCTCTCTGGGCCGACCAGCGTCGTGGGCAGCGGCAGCGTCTCGACCAGTGTGGCGGAGGTGTCCTTCGCGACGGCCGCGGCGAGGGCGTGCGACGGCAACAGCAGCAGGAAGACGACGATCGTCAGCGCCACCCGAGTCAGAGTCCCCACCCTCCCGGTGCCGAGGACGGCCCCCATGAATGAGAATCGCCTTGCTTTGCTTCGTCTCACTATCGAAATTTCTTTTTTTTGTCTTGGCGTGTTTTTCTTAAATGTTCTTCGCTTCTTGCTTGCACTGGTGCCGCGCGCCGGAGTGTGCCTTTATACCCGTGGCCACTGCAGGCAGGCCACGTCCAATTTCGGACGCCGATTCCGATTGTGTCGTGTAACTGAACACTAAAGCCGATTCGGAGTCGGAGTTACCAAGATTAGTGAGGTCGACGTACGTAATTAGCCCATTAATATGCCAATTCGGAATCGGCATATTTTTATGGGGTGACGTAATCAACCCATTTAATGTCCTGGACCTAATTAGCTCATCCACGTAAATTCAGCCCATCTAAGGGCTTGCTTGGAACATGGAAATTTTATACACCCGCAAAACTTTCACACCGATTCATTCTGGATTTAGTGCGTCGATGCTGTAACACCATTGCCCCCGCGTCGCTCCTAGGGCAGGGGCGACACGGGAGGCGACCCAGCCGCCGCCGCCACACCACCCCCACTGCCCTCCTTCCACCTCGCCGCCGCCCGAGCGGGCCGCCGGAAACCGCGCGGCCGCAAGGACGGCGGCGGCGTGGCCTTCTCCCCCCCCAAGGTCGCGGCGTTTGGAGCCCACGACTCCGACCTAGCTCCGGGGCGGCGACTTCGGCGGCTGCGATGTCGAGATCAACGGTGGCGCATGGTGTCGGCGAGGTGGCGGCGCCGACGACGGTTGAAGAGGTGGGCAACCGGGCCGACGACGATGACGAGGCGGCGGTGCTGGCTCCCACGCTCTCCTGCGCGGATCTGGTGCGGGGGGATAGGCCGCCGGCGGCGGTGATGCGCGTGGAGGCGGCGGGGTGGCCGGATTCGGCCCCCTCCTGTCCGGATCCGGCGTGGGAGGCCGAGCTCTGACCCCAGCAGCGAGGCGGCGGGGGCGCGCGGCGCTGGGGCGGCGGTGGCTGAAGGCGGCGGGGACGGAGCTGGCCGAGGGCGCGGAGGCGGCAGCGGTGGTCCCGTGGCTGCGACGGCGCAGTGCCTGGCGGCGGCGGCGGTGCCCCCCAGATCCGCGCCTCTCGACCGGATCTGGAGGGTGGCGGCAGTTGGCGACGGCGGCAGCGGTGTGGCGACGATGGTGGCGGCAATTGGCCGGCGGCAGTTGGTGATGGCGGTCTCTCTGGACGCCGGCAGCAGTTGGCGACGACAACCGCGGTGTGATGGCGTCGGGCAGCTAGCTGCTCGGTGGTGGAGGGCGACGGCGCGGCGGCAGTTTGCGGAGGCGGTGGTTGGCGTCGGTGGCAGCGGTGACGGCAGCTGCGACTCTGGAGGCGGTGGCAACGTCGGCGGCGAGGAAGGAGTTGGGTGCGAGGTGAGGATGACGACGGCGAGGTGGCTGGGTGTTTGGCAGCAGCGGCCACGGTGGTGGTGACCGTGTTTGCGGTCACCGAAGGCATGGCGGCCTCGCTTGACTAGCCGAGGGCGTGGGAGACGGCTGCATCTGGCCGGCGTGGCATCGTGCAGTGGAGGGGTCGGAAACCGGCTTGGCGCAGAGAAGTGCAGCCGATGGTAGCGGAGGCCGGCTCGGCGCGAGAGGCGCAGGCGGCGGAGATGGAGGCCGGCTTGGCGCGAGAGGCGCGGCCGGTGGAGGGAGGCCGGATTGGCGCGAGGCGCGTCCGGTGGAGGAGGCCGGCTTGGCGCAGAGAGGCGCGGCCGGTGATGGAGGAGGCGACCTAGGTGTGAGGAGGAGCTGCCGGTGGGTGTGGCGCGGTCTTCGACGCATGAAGGCTGGCCGGCGGGGGACGCCGGTGCAGGGGTCCCACATGTCGGCAAAGCTTGTGTGGTGGTGGAGCATCGGTGCGTCAGACGTGGTTTCGCAGAATCTCGTCTGTGCCCCTTTGTTGGCCTAGTGGCGGTCGGTCACGCTTAGTGGCGGCCGATCCGGTGCTAGCCTTCTCCTGGGCGTGTGTGTTGGCGATGTCGGCGTGTGGGTGGTGGTATATTTTTTCCTTTTCCTGGTTACGACTCTCCAGAGTTGTAATATTGTATTTTTTTCCTGCTCTATCAATAGAACTTCGCACCGTCTCGTGCGAGTCGTTCAAAAAAAAACTTTCACACCCGTATTTTTTCTGTGCCCCAAGGGCTTTCCTGGGATCGTGGAAATTTTATACGCTCGCAAACCTTTACGCCCGTATTTTTTGTGCACCAAGATAACATGTAAAACAAAAATAAATATATTTGGTAAAATGATGTTTCCTTTCATAATACAAAAGTAGACGCACACGCCACTACATGTGTAACACCCACGAATGCTCATCCTAGCTAACAAACATCTATGCGTCCGTAATACTTGTGGGTGTTGGGATTTTGAACTCTAGTGGATGGAGTCATGCACCCACGACTCCACTCCCGTATCACTTACTATGACAAAACATAATTTTGCATGGGGCCAAACGCTTTGCTAGTATTTAAGGTCTGTGAAAATTGATGAGTTTCGTAGGCCGCTACCCTAAGAGCCCCATCAGCGCATAATTAAGTGGCTTGACTAAACAATGAATTTTAGCGTAAGAAAACAAAGTGCACATCCAAATATCGTCCGATTCGCAAAATTCATAATGCAATTTCAACATTTGAAATTCGAAACAGATTTGTCAAATTCACAAAAAAAAAGCCAGCCGATGATGTCAGCATCGGCATCCCTACGTCGGTATCCTCTCTAGCTTCTTCAACCAGTCTAAGGGAAGAAACCGAAGTAGCGCACCATCATTGATGTTGGTGAGGGAGGGCGCGGAGGCCCGCCGCGACAAAGTCAACCACCTCAGCGAGGATGGCCGTGGAACGAGGATGGCCGAGAGCTCTCCGCGACAACGAGTGAGAGCTTCTTGAGGCCTTGTGGCAAATCTGCATGCTCCAGGCCCAACGACGGCAAATCCACCCGCGTCAGGCTCGGCAACAGTGGATCTAGACTCCCAAGACCCTGTGGTTGCAGACCTGATGCTCCTGAGGCCGGTGACGGCGGATTCAAGCTATGGAGGTCACATCGCTGTCTTCACGATCGTGGTCATTGTCGTCATCACTAGTGTCGTGGTGGTGGTGGCCACGTTCATCGTCGCAGGCCCAATTGATGTCCCTTTGCCTCCTAAGGCCCACCAAGTTGGTGTGATCGACGGTGCCGATTTTTATAGGCAGGGCTAAATCTACGGGCTTCCCGTTATTTATACAAGTATTAACAAGCATTAATATTTTAAGCCCACCTGATAAAAATAAAACGTAGGTCTGGGCAAAATTGTTTTTTTAGTGCTAGTACTTCCCCCTGATAAATGTCGTTTCGTTTGGGTAAAACATAAAAAAAACATGTGAATTCATGTACCGATTCTGAACTCATTAAAATCATTGCATGAGCTGTAGCAGCAAAACAAGCTATGATGCTGAAACGTGAGAGTATTCACGCATCAAAAAGATACAATGACGAAATAGGATGCAAGTCAGAATAGATTATAGAACATGACTTATGTGATAAATTCTAAGCATACCAGCAATACTCGTGCAACAAGCGTGTTTGGTGGACCATAACCCCTAGATTTATTTATTTTTTTTTTGGGGGGGGGGGGGGGTTGTTGTAGATAATGAGAAACAGCTCATGTGATTTCAGCTAGCATAGGAAAATCTACTTTGTGGTTACTAGTTTTTTTGTAAAATTCTCCTATTACAGTTTTTAATCAAAATAAAAGGCTAAATTGTTTAATTTAGAGGAGCTTTTAGTTTTAAGAAAAGCTGCAGGTTCCAAAAGTTCTCCCAACATTGCCCTATGTTCTAAACTAATTAGCATATTGCTAATTGTTCTTTTAGTGATAGCAACTTACTCATCGAGTATGAGGTGTTTATAAGTATGTGGTGTGCAATTGTCCATTCGAGTTGCTCATAGTAATAGGAGTGTGTGTATGTGCATGTTTATATGGTCACTAGTAATCGTGCACGTGCAATGCACATTTTCCACGTTATAAAAAAAACACAAAGTAGATTCAAAGTTTATTATATTTTCCTACAGTATACATCACATAAAGTATACTTCCTCCATTTCACAATGTAAGTCACTAACATCAATATGAGATGTGAGCCTATGATAGAGATTCCAATAAAAAAAATAACTAAATCAGTGCAGCAAATCAAGAAAGAGTGTGCAACACGAATCGTCCAGAACCAAAAACTAAAAATGCCAAGTTGGTAGGGCTTCCATCATATTCTATATAAACATGTTACCACGATAAAATTTCAATACGTACACAGGTTACAACCACAAAATTTAAAACATGAGGCTTTCACGAACTAACGTAATATATCGTAATCCTAACGTATTATTGTATTCTGATGCTCACCCCTTGATAAAGTAAATGTGAGAATATCACCTTCAGATAATCCCGAGGAATCCTTATTGTTTTGGTGGCCCCTTTGGTGCTATGAAGGTGTAACGGCAGGATGACACATTAGTCTTCTTGTTGGTTGAATGAACTTCTGAAATCGTAGAATTTTGGGCACTTTCAATTTTGTTAAGTGGTGGCCCATGAAGATATTGTTGATTACCACAAACCAGTGGAAAAACATCTCATTTGATTTAATAGCAAATCAGAAAATTCATATGTTGTTATTTTACATCAAATCAAAACCCAAAAAAATCAAGACATTTTAATATTTCAGTATGATATGAAATACTTTGACGCAAAAAATCAACCACTGATCACTTCCAAATACAAAGGATTATAATAATTATCTTCCTCATATATTCCCCAAGTAGCTTTGGTCTTCCACACTTCACCCTGGAATGAAAAGGCATTATCATTTAAAAATGTTAAAAGCCACAAAAAAGAACTTGTCACTATAAACTGAGGCAGGAAGTGAAACTGTCCCTCATCCTAATGTAGGCCTCAATATAAAAACATAAGACTACACCTAACCTCTAAACATGCCAATGCCTTCTAGAATGAATAGAGTTGTGCATTGAGATATATTGAGGCAAATTAAGAGGAAAAAATACAGAAGAAATTTGAATCCTTTGCTTCAGAGAAGACCAGTGATAACATTTTTCCACCCTTGATTCTGGATCCTCAATTTCCATATGCTTAGAAAGTTGGACATGATTAGAACAAAATGTTATTTAGCCCTGCGTGATACTATTAAGCAATTGCTGAAAACAAGCACTTGAAAATGAGGACGTACATATGCCAAAAATCCCACAGTTTGATGCATGGCATTCTAGCACCTATTAGAAATGTTTCAGTTATCAACCCGATAATTCATTTTGTTGAGGCATTAAACTAAAGGTTGATAAACCGTGCATAGCTATATATCAGTATATTATTCTTCCTCTGCCCTCCCTCCGAGTGTTAAGTCTAGCCATTCAAATCGGTGGAGTACATATCAAACATGCAGAAAATATACAGAAGGTAAAAATTATCCAATAATTAATTACTTCCTCCGTTTCACAATGTAAGTCATTCTAGCATTTCCTATGCTAGAATGACTTACATTGTGAAACAGAGGGAGTACATATTTGTGCTGCTCTATGATAAAAAGAAGAGATTTACCTTCCCCTAATTCAGATTACCAATAATTACCAAGCCATTACATCATACAGTACACATTCACTTGACACTTAAAACTCACAAAATAGTAGACTCCCTATCAGTTAACTGAATGGATATAACGCTTTTAACAGTACAACCTACCTCAAATGGCATTGTGGATAGTTACAAATCTCTCTTCCTCTTCTGTTGTTGCAAATCTGTCAATTGTAATTAAAAAAGTAGATAAATAAGATGATTGCGTAGAGATTTCTCAAATCGTACAAGCTTAGCAAAGAAAATTATCTGCTTAAACCAAATGGGATGTTTGAAACTGATTCAAACTAAATAATAAGCAATTATAGAATCATTCCCATTGGTGTGTTGCACACACATTTTTGTTGTTCATGGATGCAGTATTTAGGCACGCATGGACAGTGTTGGAGAAAAAAAAAAGACACAGGTGCCAGGGACCATCACATGGCCCTCAAGTGTAAATTAAGTTGCAGAGGAATGGGCAAGGTACAGGAGGTGTTTGTGAGTGAGCCGAGGCCAAGCAGAGAGAGGAGAACAACAAAATTTGCATCAATAGGACATGAGCTAACTGACAACATATATGAGTGAATTTTACCAATCTGCAAAACAAAACTTTTAGAACAATATGTGAACTTATATTGAACGTCATTTAAGTTTTATTGTGAGCAAATGAAAGCATAATGTATAACGTTAGGATTATACCTCACCGTTAAGATACACTCTTTCTAATATGGGGATGAAGACTACAGCTGCTGCACTGAATCTTGAATCATGTACAAAGGTAAATCAAATTGAAAATTGCATTTATAATTCTTCATTTAGAGTGCAAATGAAATAATACCGTGAGATACTGAGGATAGTTCTCAAAAATATACTGGGGATATATTTGTTGCCAAACCGTCAGGACATACAACATTAAAAACATCTGATTTCTGCATCGGCAAAAATATGCAACACATGCAATCAATTTTGGGAAGCAAAGAGTTGCCAAGGTGGATGTGCAGATCATGGAAAGACAATACATTCACTGGAAGCTGCATAGCACCTTGAGATCAGGTCTGTGTTAGCAAACCGATTACTCCTGCAGTTCAAGAACTGTGAACACCACCAAAGGCGGCCGCATCAACAGCTGTGACCTGCTGCCCTTCTTGGAAAAACAAATATATGAAGATGATAGCAAAGCAATTCAACAACCTGAATCATCTCATCTTCATGCTGATGTATGTGTGTTCTGTACTTCTGGTAGAAAGCTGGAGCATCCGAAACATAAAACTCAATTAAATCTCTAAAACAAAGGGATTATTAGTGCACCTTTGCATTGACCAATATGAGGGGGGGAGCAGGCGACAGTAGAGAAAGCACCAGGTCACATGGTAGAGCAGGAGGTGAGCAGTGAGGGAGGGGATTGGCGGTAGAGGCGAGGTGAGCGGGCTATCGGCAATGGAGTACATCATCTCAGATTCTCAGTCCGCTCCCCACTTTACGATGGAGTCCGACAGTCGACAGAAGCATGGCAGCATAGGCGACAGCACTGTGGCCTTCTCCCTCACCCTCCATTGTCTCTGCATGTGGACTGAGAAGGAAGAGGCGATCTAGCACAAATGGATGCGTAGCAACAGCGGAGGAATGTAAAATTGGCAGATCCAGCACTAAAATAAGCAATGTAGTCACATTTTCAAGTTTTCATTTGCAACAGCAGCATCATGCAATTGCTTCCATAGCCTTACCAACAAATATACCATCCTTATTTCATCTCTAATTTCATGAGAAAAATTGTCTATTGTTATTCTTAATTTGTGCACAATCAGCAAAAATTCCGTTCTGCTATCATCAGTTTGATGGGTACTACTTGAATTGCTTGAATAATAATTTAACAATGTTATTTTCTTCTCCATTGAAAATCTATGAATAAATCAAAACTATGATCATGAAGCTCAATTCTTGTAAATCACATCATCTAGATGCATTACTGAAATCAGAGACAAAGATTATGAACAGAGGCACGGGGCGAGGACTCACCACTTGTTCTGCTAGCTGCTGCTGCTCGCCCCTCGCTGTCTGATGCCCTTCATGGATGGATGGCCTGATATGCTAGCTCCTCGCCCCCTCACTCCTGCTGCTCGTGCCTTGCTGTTCGCTGTCGCCGCCGAGCCGCTGCAGCCTGCCACGTGGCAGCTGCTTGCCGTTGTTGCCACTGCATCGTCGCTTGCCGGCCCGCCGTCGCCGGCCACGCTGATAGCTGCTAGGGTTTGTGGGCTGCACACCAACGGAGCAGCTATAGAAACTACAGAAGCGGCGGGTGATGGGGAGGCGGACGCGGCGGCGGTGGACAGGACGGCGCGACATGCGTTGGGGATCGAGCACTGGACCACCGTTGCCGAGTTCACCCAGTCGGCGGATCTGACGACGACGGCTGCGCTCGCGAAGGGGACTCGGGGACGGTGATGGAGAGGAGAAGGACACGAAGGAGGTGGGGAGGAGGAGGACGCGGTGGCGGTGGGGAGAAGGCGATGCAGCAGCGGTGAGTGGGAAGGAGGACGACACGAAGGCGATGGGGAGGAGGAGAGGCATGCAGCGGCGGTGCGTGGGGAGGAGGAGGACGCGGCGGCGGTGGAAGGTCAGGGAGATTCGGTGGCGCGGGGGAGTGGCAGGAAGGGGATCGATAGCGGTAGTAGCGAGTAGCGCGGGCGGAGTCCTCGCGCGGTGATGGGAGCGAAAATCACGGTGGAGATAGGATGGGATTGCTGTGGGAGGGTGAATCGCACTGGACGGTAGGGATGAGAGTGATGCGGACGTGGATACAGATGGATGGTAGGATCAACATGTTGATTTCACCCGTACGATTGCAAAAAGGCAACTCCTACTTTTTATATTAGTATAGATATAGATTATCGCAAGATTAGCCTAATTGTATTCTATTCAATTACATGATTATTAGTGAGTGTTAACTTCTTCCTCCGTCTCATATTAAGTTTAGTTTTAGCTCAGTCCATTTGTCCCAAAATAAGTTTACTTTTGGGAGGAATCATTGCATCAGAATTAGTAAAAGTAAAGAATAATTGTATTAACTAGCTGGGTGGCCCGCGCAATTGCGCGGCTAGCACCCAAACAAAATCATATATTTTTTAGTATAATTTTACTTAAAATTTATTAAATAGCTACCTAGCTATCTCATAGTTTTAAGACTTTAAAATACCAAATCTTATCATCCTCGTGTTTTTAATTATATAGTTTTAAAAGTTACACCAGTTGCTACCCCTTATGTCATATCCTTCTTTATTTGTTTGTTTGATCTACCACTATTTCTATTCATTCTTCTTAGAACCTTTAAAAATTGAATTTTATAGTTTTTAGAGTTTATTGTCACGTTAGGTTTTATTTTTATAATTTCTAGATGTACCGTCAAACGTTGCCATTATACTCCTCTACGGCCCGTCCACTGTCTCTTCTCTTTGTTGTCATTGAGACTTTAAAAATCGAACATAATTATCGTTTGGGTTCATTTTTTACTTTTTAGAAGTCCCGCCCAACCGTCAGCGGCTTTGCCATTGTACTCTTCTATGGCTCGCCCGTTGCCTCCTTTCTTTATTGTCATTGAGATTTTAAAATCGAACATGATTATCATTGAATTTTTTTACTTTTTAGAAGTTCCAAACCTTTAAAAATTGGACTTGTAGTTTTATTTTTTATAATTTTTAAAAGTCCCATCAAACGATGCCACTATGCCCCTCTACAGCCCGTTCGCCGCCAACTCTTTTTTGTCATTGTGATTCTAAAAATCGAACATAACTATTGTTGTAATTCATTTTTTATTTTCTAGAAGTCCCGTAACCATCGGCGGCTCTGCAACTATACTCTTATACACCCCGCCCGCTGCTTCTCCTTTTTATTGTCATTGACATTTTAAAATTGAATATGATCATCGATGTTTTTTTTTTACTTTCTAGAAGTCCCGGCAACCGCCTTACTCATTTTTGCCTTACTCATTTGCTTCATGGCCTGCCTGACGTCCCTCTTTTTAATCGTCATTAGGATTCTACTTGGTGTTTTATTAATAATTTTTATATCTCGTATCAACCGCCACCACTCTACTCCTTTATAGGCATGTTACTTAATTTATATCGTCATGTGTTTTTTAGATGGTCTTTTCTTTCAATAATCTTTATTTTTATCACAAATTTTAGTTATTTATAAATTGTATTCCTAATTGAAATCTTATTTTTCTTTTTCTAATTTTAGAATTTTTTTAAAAAAAATTAGTTAATATCGTATTGTGTTATTTTAATGTTTTTATTTTTTATTTTGAATTTCAGTTGTTTCGAAATTGTATTCCTACTTGAACTCTCTTTTAATTTTTCTAATTTTAGATATTATTTTATTTTTATTCTAAATTTTAATTAATCTCGTATTGGGTTCTTATATAGATTCTTCTTTCATTATTGCTTATTTTAATTCCGAATTTCAGCTAATTTTAAATTGTATTTCTACTTGAACTCTTCTTTTATTTTCTTTTGCTAATTTCAGATTTATTTATTTTTATTCCGTATTTTAATTAATCTCGTATTGGGTTCTTATATGGACTCTTCTTTTAATATTTCTTATTTTTAATTCCGAATTTCAGCTATTTTTAAATTGTATTCCTACTTGGACTCTCATTTCTTTTTCTAATTTTGGATTTTATTTTATTTTTATTTCGAATTTTGATTAATCTCGTATTGGGTTCTTATATGGAAACTTATTTCAATATTCCTTATTTTTAATTCCGAATTTCAGCTATTTTTAAATTGTATTTCTACTTGAACTCTCATGTCCTTTTCTAATTTTGGATTTTATTTTATCTTTATTTCGAATTTTGATTAATCTCATATTGGGTTCCTATATGGACTCCTCTTTCAATATTGCTTATTTTTAATTCTGAATTTCAGCTATTTTTAAATTGTACTTCTACTTAGACTCTCCTTTTTCTTTTTTCTTTTTCTCCGATTAATGTGTGATTTTCTAGCTCCCACAGCGAACGTGGGGCCTCCTTTCAAAGCTGTTTTAATAATATAATAGATTAGGAGTAGATAAAGAGATGAATTGCATTGGGATTTGATATATTAGGAGTATTTCTTTTTATTATTACTACCTCCGTCCCATATTACTTGTCTTTTTGAGTTTTCGTTTGTCAATGTTTGATCATTCGTCTTATTCAAAAAATTTTGGAATTATTATTTATTTTGTTTGTCAATTGCTTTATTATCAAAAGTACTTTACATATGACTTATCTTTTTTTATATTTGCATTAATTTTTCAAATAAAACGAATGGTTAAACGTTGCAAATAAAAAGTCAAAAACGTCACCTATTATGAGACGGAGGGAGTATTATTGGTATGTGTAGGATGGGTAAAATATTAACTTATTTGGGACGTATGTAGTAGAACTAGTATATAGATATACTAATGTAGGATTTTACACTAAGATGTACGCTACATTACAAGAAACAAAAATGACAAGTAGTGCTCAATCGCAGTTCTATGTGAGAAGTTATCTTATATTACTAAAAGAAATTTACAGCTAACAATTCACGGTCGTGCGAATATACTAGCATTTCAATACACTATGTATCAAAAAATAAAGTCCACGTCCTAAATATCAGGATTGTTGAACAGGCACCGCAAAATGTGACTATCCGAAGTTAGAGTTTTATTTGAAATCAAAATATACAGCATACTCCTATATTCCCAGGAGAGATGAAATGCAAACTATTACATAGGTAGTTCGGCCGAAAATTGATACTTGCATCTAAAACAAAATAAGCGCTCTGAAAAAAGCAACTATAAACTAATCAAGTAGCGCTAGCCTTGACGACGGCGACATGACCCAATTCAACTGAACCCAAGTAAAGCTTGCCGCCGCCTCTCTCAATCACCTCCGTTGGCCAGACGTTCTTCGGCCCCCTCAACTCCTGCAAGATCTTCCCCTTGCGACCGATCCTTACGGCGAGGAGGTGGGTGTCCGAGCCATACGGCGTCTCGGTCTTCTCGCGGTGCAGCGCCACCCAGTAGCCTCCCTTCCCATCGGGCCTCACGTTGTCCGGGTAGCCCGGCAGCTCGGCGAACGGCTCCGACGTACCGGCCTTGGGGCCCTCGATCCAGTGCCTCACCAGCTTGCACGGCCCCGTCAGCGCCACCACGAGGTGACTCCGATCGGCGCTGAGTGCGAGACCGTTGGGGTACGTCATTCCGGACTGGAGCACGTCGAGGTAGCCCGTCGTCGGGTCGTACTTCATCAGGCGGCCCGTGGAGTCGCCGGTGGCCGTGACCCTCTCGTGCTGGGATCGCTGGAAGCGCGTGCTGCTGTCTGTGAAGTAAACCTCGCCGGTGACCTGGTTGACGTCGACACCGTTGGTGAACTTGAACGGCACGCCGTCGGCCTCCGTGGCGAGCACCGTTGCCTCCCCGCCGCGCGGGCCGACACGCATGAGGCCCTTGTACGCGTCGGCGATGTAGAGGTTACCGGAGGTGTTGTGGAACCGGAGGCCGAGCGGCCGGCCGCACTTGCTCTCGGTGAGCTCCGCGGGATGGAGCTTGGGAGCCATGCACTTGGCGACGTTGTACCCCGGGGCGTGGGAGTACTGTTAAACTTTGCACTAGGATCACCTAGGTTAGATCTAGTCGGGTGGTTCTATTTGGGTTTGATGAACGACATTGTAGATGAAAGGGAGAGGGTTTAGATACCGACCGGTTGAGGAGATCGTGGAGGAAGAGGCGCCGGACATCGTCGTTGTCGTCGCGGCTTGACGTGGATGCGGCGGTGGCGTTTCCCGTCACTGGCTGCGCCCCCTCTCGATCGGATTAGGGTTTTGTGGGGTGGAGTTGGCGGCGGCGGTGAATCTCGTACCATGTGCCGTGCCGGCCTCCACCCCTCTTTTATATGGCGCAGTGTGACGGGGGCCCACCAGCCATTGGGCTGGGCGCCCCCGATCAGGGCGCGGTCAAGGCCCCCTTGAGCCGTTGGGCTCAAGGGGAGAGAGATCTATCTAACATTCTCCCCCTTGATCTCACTTTTTCTTTTAGCTTTTTCTATTCCATCACAGATTTGTAAATAGAGCATGTTTCATCGTCACGGTCAATCGCCGATGGATTCGACAGCCACTATACACATCTCTATTCAGAAACAGATACTTTACTTTTGGGCCCTGTAGTCCAGGATTCATAAGGCTTCCCTTAAACCCATGCCGGCTACATGTTCCTTGAACACGTTGGGTGGTAGGCCTTTCGTGAGCGGATCCGCGAGCATCCTTTCTGTTTTAATGTGCTCGAGACTGATTGTTTGATCCCGGACTTTGTCCTTCACAACATAGTACTTTATGTCAATGTGTTTGGCAGCACCACTTGACTGATTGTTGTGAGTGTACATTACTGCGGGTTCGTTGTCGCAGTATAACTTTAGTGGTTTCTCAATACTGTCAACCACCTTTAAACCGGGTATGAACTTCTTTAGCCAGTTCACCTGCCCCGTTGCCTCATAGCATGCTATAAACTCGGCATACATAGTAGACCCTGCAGTGATAGTCTGTTTTGAGCTTTTCCATGAAATAGCTCCTCCTGCCAGGGTAAACACGTATCCCGATGTTGACTTTGTATTATCTTTTGCAAAGTCAGAATCTGAGTACCCCACTATCTGGAGTGATTCTGATCTTCTGTAAGACAGCATGAGGCCTTTTGTTCCTTGCA